AGATTTTTGAGAAGACTATGGCTGAAATAGGTATATAGTAAGGAGTTGACGTATTAAAAATTCAGAATATTGGAATTAAAGCAACACATTCGAATGAAATTTCGGCATCAATATTCGTTTCTCTGAGAGTCCATGAATTCAACAAATTCTAAGGGAATTTTTTTACATAGTCTCAAATCATCAACAATTCTTTTCTGGTGTTCTCAGCTCAACAAATTTTAATACCAATGGGTCATCATCAACATATAGATTTTCGTCTTCTATCATCAATAAGAGGTGCAATGTCATAGGTCGCTTCATGATGAAGTTCAATTGGGTCAATTTCTTAAAGTCCATGTTCTATATTAAAGGTCCAATTTATACGGGGCTCAAAATTTGGACAGAGTGAAGTTAAATAGTAAATTTCAGGCCCGAGATCCGAAGTATATTACATTGCTTATCAGTAGCAAGATTCAATGGATATTATGCAAATTAAAATGTCCTTTCCAAAGTCCATATTCATAAGTCCAGGGTTTTCTCTCTCCATGTCAAAAATGGAGTCAAATACTAGTCAACAAGTTATATTCGGCCTTTCCTCGGTGATAAAGTTCAACAAATTATGTTCAAGCCAAGCACTCAATAAGTTTCAAGTGCTAGTGCATGTTTCCATATGGCCAAATCACGGTGTTTGAGCTAAAAAAAAAATATATATTGGGATTGCCACAAAAATTGAGTCATATTCTAGATTCAGTTTTTTTATTTATTTATTTTATTTTTATTTTCATCAGATTGCTTGAGCCTCTACATTGCACAAAAATATATTTATATATATTTAAATATACTTATATTCGGAAGAGGGGGTTGAATGTCATACTTACAAATTTGGGCAGTTAGAGAGGTGAAGTCCGAAGCCGATACTGGATTTAAGCTGAAATCAGAGAGGCTTTACAGACTGTAATCAACAAGACTGGGCTAGGCTTGGGCAGACCACACACGTTGCTTGAGAGGGCGAACGTGCGTGGTCAACGTCGGATAAGCTGAAGCCGAAGCAGCATGTGGAGCTAGGTTGGCAAGACACACACGTTGCGTTGAGAGGGGAACGTGCGTGGTCGACGTCGGATAGCTGAAGCGGAAGCAGCAATTGATTGTGGCACAAGCCAAGGCTAATGTGGGTAATCCGAGCTCTAAAAAAAATATATATATGAAATCAATATTATATATATATATATATTGCCCAAAGTTTGTCAAGCAGCAAGTAAAAAAAAAAAAAAACGAAGACAACCAGCAGATTCGAAAGAAAAAAAAATAATTATATACCTTTCAGAGGATGGTGACCAAAATGTTTGCTCCTTTGCTCGGTCGGACAATGGAGGCTTACATCGATGATATGGTGGTAAAGAGCCGACATAAGGCGAACCATTTGTCCGACTTAGCAATGTATTAGTGAGCAACAATGTTCAATGCACATGGATGAGAAATTAGTTTCAATTCACCTAATCCTCATGCAATTTCTACAACAATCATAACTATCTTTCACCAATAGCCCAAAATATATATTTCTAAAAAGATATAAAATCTCCAATACAGATAAACTTTCCAAATTTTAAGGGGAGTGATAATAGCCGTATAAAAACACTCAATGTAACGTTCGAACGCAGATCACGTTCATAACTATGTAATTATTGTCTGATTGAATAAAATGTTTCATTGTAATTTGCATTCGGCACACACGTGTTTGCATGTGTTTCATTGTATAAACATTGACCGGCCCGAGTCAACTAGGCATTTTAATTCCGAACGGTTGTATGCCGGCTTGTCATGAGCATTCTTCATTAAATATATATTTGGCATGTGTCACGCACGGTCAATTGCGCCGATGCGTTTTCGAATTCAGAGGCTTTACCGGCCCAAAGGTGTCATGCACCAAGGGCTCCGAATCCGAAGATAGTCAGCCCATCTATAATTGCTGTTTATATAATTAGGCCATTTTAACTCCAAAAAAGCCAAAAATTAACACATGGAGTGGAGCGACTTCTAGATTGCGTCTGAATCCGTTCGAAGCCAAGTACTTCGGATCTCTAGATTCGTGGGTCCGAATCCTTTCGAGTCCGAGTGCCTCGGATCTCTAGGCTTTCCTAATACCCTTTCGAGTTCCGGGCCTGAGTAAGTCTCTAGGTTCGTGGATCCGAACCCTTTCGAGTCCGAGTGCCTCGGATCTCTAGGCTTGCCTAATACCCTTTCGAGTTCCGGGCCTGAGTAAGTCTCTAGGTTCGTGGACCCGAACCCTTTCGAGGCTTACAGCGATTCAATCCGTTTGATGGCGATAAATCTGGGCCCACCGATTCTTGGACTTGCGATAAATTCGGGCCCACTAATCTTGGGCTATTGGTCCTAAATAATTTAGTGGGCTCAAATTAGCCCCTCTTACAGTACCCTAGCAGTAATGTGAGTAACAATCAATGTTTGTGTTGTTTGTTGATTATCTGTTATTGAGTAATAATCAATGTGAACATTCACATTCTAAAGCTAGCCATTTCACATGTGTTGTTTCCTTTATGTTGTGAAATTTTGTTTGTGTCAATATGAAAAATCAACATATATTGGTGTTGTCTCACTCCTATTTGTACCCTAACAGTAATGTGAATATTCACATCTCTAATGATGTGAATGTTCACATTATTATGTTTGTCACCTAAATAGTACTTTGTTACTTTTGCTTATATGAATATCATTGAATGTGAATATCCATACTGACTAATGATGCGCTAATGTTAATGTGCATGCCTACCCTACCAATTCTATTGAAATCAAATTTAATGTTCATATAAACACTCACTATAATGACCCGCGGGCTTGTTACAGCATGCCTACCCTACCAATTCTATTGAAATCAAATTTAATGTTCATATAAACACTCACTATTTGTGCATGTCTATGTAACAGATGTTGCATCTAAATTTTGCACAAAGAGGAAGAGGGAGAAATATCATGTCAAAGAAGAGAGCATGCCTCTAGAGAGTAACACCCATATCGACATGCGACATGTCAATTATCAATCAAATATTACAGGCTTAGTAAAACTGATGACAAGCACCAAGTTCTGGGATCCTCAGCTGGACTATTTGAGACAAACTCCGTTGTTCGATGGTTGGGGTTGTCCACCATAGACTAGCTATACCAAAATACATTGCTAGTTTTTTTTTTTGTTGGTAATTTTGATAACTTATAGTTGAAAACACTTGACAACATATATATAAATCAATGGTATACTTCTCACAGACCTATGTGTTTTGATGGTATATGTGGTGTTGGTGTGTTGTGTATGGTAAACAATATAAACTGTGAACATTCACATCTGTTTTCTTATATTGAAGTTTGTGTGAATGTTTACATCGTAATTTATTTTCAATAAATATGAATGTTCAAATTATGTCCTATGTTTACTGTGGTTGACTATAGATGTTAATATTCACATTACATATTAATTAGGTGTATGATCTATGGACAAATATATTAGAATCATTGTGAATCTTCACATCTATCTATTACATTGTGAATATTCATATCATACTGTGGTTGACTACAGATGTTAATATTCACATTATATATTAATTAGGTGTACGACCCATTAACAAACATATCAAATGTTAGTATTCACATTTTACATATGCAAAGTGTATGATTCATCCACAAATATATCAACAAAAGAATATTAACTACACACAATGACAGTTGACCAAACAATGTTCTAAACAATATGAAGTGTGAACATCCATATCTGATCTCTTATGTTGAAGTTGGTGTCAATGTTCACATCGTAATTATGTTGAGTCTCATTTTCAATCACATTATGTTCTATGTTTATTATAGTTGATTATAGATGTAAATATTCACATTGTATTTACCATTCAATATTATATTGGTATATGAATAATATTAATACCAATTGATAACACAATAACAAATTTTCAATTCAAATTAATATGAATATTAACACGGATTAATAATATGAACATTTACATTATTTTTATATAAGACACATTACCAATCTCAAAAAAATCATTACTACATTGAAATCCAATAACAAAAAGTAAAAATCAATGACAATAACATAATCATAAATTCAAAAATCTCAATCTCTCAAAAAATAAAAAAACCATCACACAAATCCTCCTCTGTATCTTCATAATTTTCGTCTCCATCTCCATCATTATCACTATTATTAACACCTCTTACAATTTCATCATTACAACAATCCAAATCAAACCAAACACTCCTCATCTCTTTATAAAGAAAGCTACATTATTGTATCAGAAACTTCATTCTTCACAATTCTAACACTCATTTCTTAAACTTCCAAACAATATGAAATGTGAACATTCACATTGATTGACAGAAAAACCAAAAATAATGGTAGCAATAGAACTATAAATCCAAAAAAAAAACTCAATCTCTCTGAAAACAAAAAATTATCACCCACATCTTCAGCTTCATCATATCACTATCATTAACAACCCATGTAATTTCACCATTCCACCAATCCAAATCAAATTAAACCCACCTTCGAAGAACAAGTATTCAAATCCATCTCATCTTTCCCTTTGATTCAATCCAGTTGAATGTGGATTTTAGTCAATCTACTGAACAAGTTTGTAAGCCATTACCCCTGTTTCTTTTATTCAAATCCTTTTCTCTTCCTTTGATTTCTGGCTGAAATCATAACTATGGCAAAAAAAAAAAACACACACACACACACAAACAGAGCATAAACTCTGAATCGTCATCTTCTTTTCTACAGGAATGAAACCGTATCGCAATGAAACACTACCGTGAACTATGTGCTGTCGTCTTCTCTCTTATAGGAACAAAATCCTACCACAACAAAAACAGAGGGAAACATGTATATTATTTTGTATATAATATATATCAGCATATAGACAAAAGGGTATAATAGTCCAATAAAAAATATAAATCAGGAAAAAAAGACCTTATGGAATAAAAGTATAAACACATGGGACTAATTAGGTTATAATTTTTCTTTGTGGACTTATTGGGATAAAACATCTCTAGATGAGATTTATCAATAAAAAACCCAATATTGGGAGCTTTTTTATTTATTTTAATTTATTTTATTTTTATCGGCTGTTTGTATTCTCCTTCGTAGTTGTGGGCTGCTGAGGGTGTGTGAGAAGCGTGTATTGATCGCGTTTTGTATTGTCAAAAACTCCAGTGGAAAATTTCATTAATTCCTCACACCAAATTATCACATTTTTTTTATTTTTTTTAATTATTAATTTCAACACTTCTTAATTCTAAGGGGTTAACTTAGTTGGTGTAACTTGGATTATAGGGATGTGCTTCCTTTCAGATTTAACTCCCATTAAGTGCTATTAACTCTTTGGGATCACGTTCGTTGGTTCTATCCGATCAACAGAGATGAAATGCTTTACGTGAGTTCTGTCCGATCCACAGAAATGAAATGCTTTACGTGAGTTACTCGGACATTCAATCATCAAAAAAGAAAAAAAATTAACAATTCTCATTAAAAATCAGGAGGCATTAATTCATTTTACCTCAAACTGTTTTTTTTTTTTTTTTTTTTCAATTTTTTAATGTCAATTTGCATCAAATTACAAATATGAGAAGTATTACGTTAAATTGAATAATTAAAATATAATAATAACTAGAAAATCACCACAGGAAATAGTTCAAACTTGCAAAGAAATAAACATTACATACAACGTCTATATATGGAGATAAATAAACACCATAAAAGATATAAAATTATTTTTCATAACAGTTTAACCTTACTTTACATCCATAAAAGTTGAACCCGCTATTCTTGTGCCAACATATATGATACTCTGCTAAAAAAAATTAACTTTATTTATAGTTTGTGACAAATAGAACTAATGTTAATAATTTCAGAGAATAATTATTTAAATTAAGAATTCAGAGGATGAACTGGCACAAATATAATAATTTGAGGTGGCAAAGTGTGTTCCAAATTTTAAGATGAAAGATAAGGGTGTTTTGGGAAGTTGGTAAAAAGTTAATTTTTGGCTTTTTACCAAGCTTTTTAGCTTTTTGAAAAGTGATTTGAGAAGTTGATAAAAAGCTCGCTTTTGACTTTTTAGTTTAATATTTGTTTATGGTGTCAAATTAAATTAAAATGACCAAAATATCCTTACCTAACATAAGAAATTTATTTTTTTATTTTTTTGTCATAGGCCCTAATTTGTAATTTCACACTTGCGTTTTTGGCACTTCCCAAGCCAATTTTGTTGCGTTTTTGCCATTTACGTTTTTGGACATTTTGACAAAAATGTGATCTTTTATTTTGGATTCCAAAACGGCACATATACTCAAATCCCTGGTGGTGCAAAAAAATAAATAAATACATAAAAAGAAAGAAAAAGGTATGGAAATAGAATAGTTACGTCATGACTTTTGTGGTAGAGAGTGGGAGCTTGCTGGGGGTAGTTATCATATCTTGATTGATATTAGTGTGTGTTTAGCTTGTTTATTTGGTTTAGTATATGTGTCAATCAGATTAATTTGTGTGTTTTGTTGTTTCATGTTGTATATTTGTTCATATATCTTACTCAAATTATCATCTATTATCTTTGATGGTAGGAATAATTTGGAGATAAAAAGGATATATGGACAAATTTTTTGGGCTTTACTTGTGATTTTTTTGGTTCGCTGATAATTGGGGGGTTTGTTATATTTTGTTTTTATATTGTTTTACTTCCCCTCTCCTTGGGGGGTAATGCTAGATGTATTATCTCGGATGTGTCCTTTGTAAATGTGTATATTTTTTTTATATTTAATTTTTGACTTATTCACCTCCAAAAATAGAATAGTTCATCACAGTTAGAGAAGACTATTGGTGAAATTCTGTTTGGCAAATATTGAAAAGGTCATATTCAATTTTTAATTTTTTTTAATGTTTTTAGTGAAAATTTTATATTTGTGTCAAATCTTTATTTTTTTTATTTTTTTATTTATAACTTTTCATGTTGTTCTACAAAACAATTAATTTTTTTATTTATTAAAGACAAAAAGGTAAAACATACCATTTTTTTTTGAAACTCTAGTGGATTTTTTATATGAGAAATGTTTGAGCGCCACAATTTTGTGGCCACAATGGCTCAAAACTGACAAAACGACGTCGTTTTAGGTGCAAAACATGTCAAAACAACGTCGTTTTGACAGTTTTGAGCCATTGTAGCCACAAAAATTGTAACCCTCTAGCATTGTTGTTTTTATATTTATGATCTTTTTGTCTAGTAAGACCTGAAGTGAATTTTTGTTGAATTCTTTTTAAAAATTCACTAATGAAAAACAAGAAGCAAAGTTATTAAAAAAATATGAAAAATGCTAAAGACTCTAAAAGGTGTCATTAGCCTTGATTTTTGTGTAAAAATGCATGAAATTAAGGTCAAGTTTGGCAACTCTTAAAAAATTCAAAAAGTCAAAAAGTCACTATCCTATTTAAATCACATCATCTTATTTAAATTACATCACCTCTTTAACACATCACTTCAAACCCAACCTAAACCCAACTCATATTTCATAAAAAGTCAAAAAGTACACTTATTTAGTCTTCCCAAACTTAGCCTAAGACTAGGTTTGACAATTGATTTTTTTAATAATTTTTTATTCTTTATTTCTTGAATAAAGTTACTACTAAAAAAACGGACGCGCTAAAAAAAATTTACTTTTTTGTTATTGGAAAAATGTAGATAAGTTGATTTTTGTTTTTGTTATTTTATTGTCTTTAATATTTTTTTAGAAATTTTTTAATTTTTACATCCGCCTGAACTAAAAAAAGCTTGAAAAATAAAGTATTTTTATACATATAATTTTTTTTTTTTTTTAATCACAAAAATGATTGTAGTGTTCTTGTCTTAAATAGTCTGAAAGTGACTAAAACACTATGGCCATGTTTGTTTGGGCAGATTGGATTAGCATTCCCATAACTAATAGTCCTAGGACTACGAATCCATTGGATTATGTATCCTATCTTAACTAATAGTCAAGTTTAAAATAATTAGTCCGTACTTCAATTGTTTAACCAAACATCGGATTAATAATTTTATTGGACTAATAGTCTAATCGCAAGCTCATGTCCACCCAAACAAACATAGCCTATAAGTTGATCTAGAGTGATACATGAAAATTAATCTCTTTACAAAAAATAAGAGTTGTTATAAGTAAAATATTATGTTATGGGTAATTTTTTTTAATATAAATAAACCATTATTAAACCTAA